TTCTCTTAAATAAAACATATACTACAAAGACTACTTCCCAGCGTGGTCACAGGATTGCCTCACAAACATGATGCAATTAGTTATTCCACTCAACGCAGTATACGTCCCGAGTATTAGCTATGGGTATCTTCAGTGATGAAGACTGTCTAGCTACGAAGAAATAAAGACTGGAGGTTCAGTAGCTTTCGCAAAGACATTCTAGCAACTGGTAAGGCCAGTCTGAAAACCCAAAAGCAGTCATTTCTTCTCTTCGTCAACTTGTCAGTCACAAAATAGAAAACTATTACTGCTTACTATATCTTTTGTTAAAGACACAGATTCACTATGTGACTCAGGCTGAACTCAAGATCTTATTGCTTCAGACTCCTGAGTGGCCTGTGTTCTATGGCATTCAACAAGTTACGGTATTAAAATGCTGGAAACAGCCTAGAGATCAGGGTGAGGAAGCAACTCACTTTTAATACGGGTCACAATTTCAGTTTCCAGCCCTGCCTGCTCCTGCACAGCCTGGAGTTCTGGGAACAATGGCAGATAGGGTAGGAGGAGACAAATAACATTTGCACTCAAGTCCCCTGCATTCAGAAAGTCTGCCGTGGTGGACTCAATCAACTTCAGATTCAGACGACAAGTGTTTGAAAACTCCAACGAATCTATATTGAACACACAAACTCTTTCTTTGGTCATTATCCCCTTAAACAACAGAGTGTAACAACTACCAACACTACATCACAGTTACTAGGCTTAAAAGGAAATCTGAGCTGACTTAAAGTACATGGAAGGATAGAACTGAGCACCTGTAGATTTGGGTACCTGGGGGAAAAGTCTCAGTACTAATTCCCTGCAGACTGCTTCAGCGGATAACGTGTACAGGTATCTGGTCTTATGCAAGTGTACTCATTAAACCATGCATCTGGTCTTATGCAAGTGTACTCATTAAACCATGCATCTGGCTCTGTGCAAATGTATTCTCAGCTTACTGCATGAAGCAGCTAATATTTTAGACAATTAGAAGTTACCCCATGACAATTTTCTCCCCCTTTGATACAGTAACAGAAGGAAAAAGGTAAAGGAGTGGGGAGAAAAGGAGGCTCACAGCGTTTGTTCTCTGTCTTCAACAATCTTCAGAACAAAGCAAGGTGATTCTAAGTGCACACATGAGATGAAAACCCTGCTTAAGGAGGCGGGGGTGGGGGTGGGGGGTGAGCAAGGAGCCTATCTGGAGAAACCACTTACGTGTGTCAGTTCCTGATGTAAGACCCATCTAGGCAGTCCTCGTAATGACACTGATGCCAGTTCCTGACCAATTTAATCATTACAAATTTGTTCACTAAAGGTTCTTTCTGAAATTAAAATGCCCAATTACATGATAAAGTACAAGCTTGAGTAACCCTATAAAAAGCACATGTAAGTAAAGCAAATGCTTCCTGTAGTCATCTTACTGATTTCTTCTCAATTCTTTTCTTGGTGCAATAGTTCGTTTTTAAAAATATGAATTTAAACTATGATAATCTCTACATTTTATTCACTCTCCAGCATCAATTGCCATAAATGTATTGTTACATGACTGAAAAATTCTATGAAACTAGAATATTTTAAGTAGAAAACAATTTAAAGAGTATTTTGTGTAAGCCAGGTATGATGGCTAATGCACACTTGTAATCCTACCACTAGGGAGCAGAGGGACTGTCATGAGTTCAAGGCCAGCCTAAGCCACAGGTGAGACCCTGGCCTAAAAATGAGGAGGAGGAGGGAACGTATTCAATGTGTATCTGAAATGGAAGTACGTAGGTGGGATTCAGCAGAAAACACATACACTACAGAAGGTATATCTACACAGCTTACACACACGTCTGGGTGTGTCATAAAACCTCTCAGAAGACTTCAGTCTGTAGTGACTACTCGCACAGTTCTTACAATTTTCAGGGCTCCAGGTGACTTTAACACTGCCTAGAAAGCGGGGAACGGCAGGGAGCAGCACACTACAAATCACTTCCTGTGTGTACCTACGTTCAAGTATGCCATTATTGATTTTAATGTTTGCCTTCACCAAATTTGATCTTTTTTTCTTTAGATGTGAACACTCAATTTTTAGTGCCCACAGCTCACATGGTCTTATAGAGGCTATATTTTATATAAAAACCATAGCAAGAACACTTAGGAAAAACATAATTCTATGCCACCCTATAGCATCTGTGATTAAATAACTTAGTGTTTTATCTGCCTGCCTTAAAAATGAATTACAGATATTTGTTCTCATCTTCTGCAGTACCTAAGTAAATATTTGTGTGTAAAGGGGAAAAAGTAAAAGGTACTGAAATATTTTACTAACACAGCACCTAGTAAATAATATAAAGGCACATAAGGTATAGCAAAAATATTTTAATTGAACATACAATGCCCTTGGCTCAAAGGTCATGCCCATTTAAATACACAGTGAGGAAAATATAATATTCTTGGAATCACTTACTCAGTGGATCTGTACTAAATGGGCAGGAAATAAATGTATCCAGATTCACTCACTAGCAGTAATAGTCACACATGTTCATTACACTGTCCACTGTTTACTTAGTAAGTCCTTTTTCTTTGATTCTATGACCCTTTTAACTTGAAATATCTCTGAATTAGCAATTATTTTATAGTCACTGGTATGTCTTACTGGAAACAGCCTGTTTCTGAGAAGTGTTGCTTGCGTTTAATGGCATTTTATCCAATGAAATTCACTATGTTTTTAAAAAGTAAATTTTTAAAAAGTAACTTTGATTTACTTTTAAATAAATTTTTAAAAAGTAACTAGCATTGCTCCTAGTCTTCAGCACTCCCAGATGTCCAGTCACTTCATAAAGTATAAGCTTTCACAAAAGTGGGGATGGAAAACTGAATAAAACAGCACAATTCCCAGGATAAGAATGAAGTTACATGGAATTACCTTGAGCTTAAATGGCATTCATACCCTTTGGACCCCGAATGCTGCACATCCAGATGACCTTGTCACACGTCTCTACGCACTGCAGAAGTTACCAACTGCACTGCACACACACTAATGCTGAAAACAGAGCTCCAACTCAATGAAATGTTTACAGATTAAAGAAATGATTAATTCAGTCTGCTAAACTACAAAGAAGAGTATGGCATCACAGCAAAACTATGCGGGGCTGGTGAGGGTATCTCAGTGGGAGAGCACCCAGCATGCAACTGGCCAGGGGTCCACCCCAGCAACAAACAAATCCACACTATGTGGCTGTCTCATACAGTGCTGCCCGCAAACCCACCGAGCACTGTATGAAGGGGTTGGGCCACTGCTCACATATTCCAGTTGCAGCATTCTGGTGACAGAGCTGTGATCAACGGCACACAAAACGGGGCAGGTCCTAAGCCAAACCTATCAAATAAGACAATGAACTTTTCTTGGAGTGTTTAAATACTGGTGAAGGAAATTCTAGTTCAGTCAACAAGGCTAGGTATTTCCTTCCTTAACATTACAGAACTAGAGAAGGGCACAGGAGGGACGAAGTCATTTCTTTTAAATCATACAAAAGAGTCCCCATGCTCAAGATGACACAGTGATGACAGCTGATAAGGTTGGTTAACTTGCACTTTCTAGAACCTCCAAACCAGTGCAAGTGCAACCCACCTCAAGCACCCACGAGAAGAGCAAAGGCTTAGAATTTTTTTTTAGAAAAATCACAAACAAGTCATTTATATTGCTACTTAACTTGAACAAACGTCCATTAATTTTGGTCAGAGTAATTGGAACTAAAGTTGTTTTGAGAAACTGTACTCAGTATCATTTCCTAAGGTCAAAGTCAGTCTTTCCTGAATGTTTACTTTGCCCTAGGGTTGTAATTTTGACTCTATCCTAAGGGAAAGACCTGAAATAAAATGAGACCACCGACTGGGTTACTTTGGAACTAAACACTCAAACACTCCTCCTCAGCCCTCCTTTCCCCAAATGATGAAATATATAGTATGTCCTATTGTCTGAATTTACACCGTGTGAAAAAAGGACCATCTTTGGCCACAGAAGTTATAGCTCTCTAGATCACCACCAGTGTACACAAACAAATCTTATTTGACATGGCTGGTGTGCTCTGTCATGGCTTAGGAATTTTAGATAGATCAAATGATGAACTGCTGAAAATGACTGCTCAGGATTATATGAAAGCTTTCCACTGGAAACTAAAAAAATATCAATGGCTTTTTTTTTTAACATGTATATACTATATGTAGAAAACTCAAAAGAAAACAGCAAATAAATGAAACTTAAGGGCAAAAGCAAACAAGAAGCCAACCTCAATTTCTTCTCTTCAATCTAGAGTCTTAGAGTCTTGTCTAAACAATGTTACCCAGAGCCTACAAAACACATGATGGACACTTTATTCCTGGTATATCAAAATCTCTTAAGTCCATCAACACCAGTATACATTTTGTGCAATCAAGAAACTCATGGTGGGCACGTGAACTACACTTCTTAATGACAGTATTATCTACACAGAACAGCAAATAGAGCATGAAAACTTGGAAGAACTGAAGTGCAATCTGACTACATGCTGCACCTGGCTTTATGTTCAGCTGTATTAAACAAAGTGCTACAGAACTGCCTCTTGGCCAATATACTTCTTTCTAATTTCTTCAGATTTACCAAGATTGAAAGCTATAACCATGAGCAATGTTAATTTATCCAATGTTTCCAATTTTCTATCAAGTTTTAAAGAGTATCTTATTAAACTTTAAAAAATCATTCTACCTTTTCTCTGTATAAGCATAGAGACAGACATACAGAGAAAGAAAAACTACATGGCTTATACAATAAATATACATGGGTACTGCGTACATATTAATCAGACTGCATGGTTTTTATATAAAAGTATACAGGTTTTTACTACCACATAACTCTTCATTGTTGTTAAAGTGTAATGGGAACTTCCACAGCTAAGTGCATGCTACTAACAATTCAGTTTTAAGAATTTGTAGGTTAAAAAAATACAATTCCTAGAACACTGTTATCAAACAAGTAAGTTTTATTGGCATCTAAAAACAAAATTCACCCAACATTGAAACGTATTTTAATGTTTATGTTGTTTGCTTTTTCTTTTCTTTTTTCTTTTTTTTTTTTTTTAACTCACTGCAGTATGAGGAACAAATCACACACACTTACTTTGGAGGAACAGAGACCATAGTGGAGATTTTCACAAAATCGCTTTTTAAAATCTCTGTATTATGCTCCTCAAGAATCTAGAGCCAGTCCTTGCATAAAATGTCACAGCTTTGTTACCTTAAAATCCTGCAGCAGCCTAGAGATAGGAAGAAGATGTGCCACACCTTGCTGTTCTGCAATGATGTCATTACCATAGCCAAGCCAATGACAGTGTCTAAAACCCTCTCTTCCATAGGAAGTCTCCGACCAGCTGTTAGCATCTCCTTGACGTTAAAAGAATCTGGGGCAACATTTATACTTTATCAGAAAAATAAAAAAATGTTTACCTACCATGTTCATATTAAGAACAATGTCTCTACAAGTCAGTTGTACAATCATTTTAAGAGAAAGGTGAACATGAACATCAGATTAACTTAGTTCTGGCAGATAAACAACGGGAACACCTCTGGTGCAGTCAGCCACTACCCTCTTACAGAGATGACAACTGTACAAAAGGTTTCTTTTACCTACTGAGCGATGGTTATGTCCCCTCAGTCTCTGTGCTCTCTACCACCACTGCTTCACTTTCTACACCAGCAACTGTGCCGCTCTCCTCCTTGTCTACGTCACCTGAAGACGCCAGTTTGTCATAGAGTTCAGGGTCCTTCTGGACTGGTAAAGGCGGTGGCTGAGCATGCCTCTCTGTAGTTTCACCGTTAACTTGAGGCACATTATCACCTTTTCGTTGAGAAGTGGCCCCTTCGAAATAATCAAACACCCGAGCGTGAGGAGGGGGGACCCAAGTGTTTTGAATTCTATCTCGTCCAAGACGATTTCCATTAATTTCTCTGCAGAAATCAAAATCTCTGTCATCCCTATCCCTTTGCCTCTCCCAGGGTCTTCTGCGGTCATCAAAATCTCTGTGAACTTCTTGCGCAAATCCTCTGTTCCAAGGACCACTTCTAGGATCAAATCGGTAACTTCCAGCCCGAAATCTACCTCTTTCTTCATGTAAGCCTTTTGGACCACCAAAGACAGGCAGAACTCGATGCTCTCTCTCATCAAAATCTCTATGCCCCCAAGGCTTCTCTGGGGGAAATCCAAAGTGGTCTCTTCGACCAAGATGATCTAGACCTGGCCTCACAAGATTCTCTCTGATGTCCACAGGAGGTCTTCCAAAATGATCCCTACCATCTAATGGAGGCCTTCCAGGGCCTTCTCGGGGATCTATAGGTCGCCCAACCACATCCCTAACATCCACCGGGGGAGGTCTATTCATGCCCTCCCTTGTTTCTACAGGAGGAAACCGGTAATCTCTATCCCCTTCCTGCTGAATACTGTCATTCCCAAGTGGTATTCGTTTATCTGGGTTGGGAACATTGTCTATACTTGGTCTTCCAGGAGCCAGAAAAGGTCTTTCTGGCTGACTAAACAGATCTCCAGGAGGAAAAGGTCCACGGGGAGGCGGGTGAAGAGCTGCATCAAGTACCGATGGGGGAGGCATCCCCCGCTGGGGGGGGATTCCAGGCTGTAGTAAAGGGAATCTTGGTCCAGGAGCCTGTGGTATCAGTCCTGGACGGATGTCTAACATTGGCAATGCAGGCATCCTTTGAGCTGGGATAGTTAAGGGAGGTAAGTTTTGAGGTCCAATTGGTGGCTGTGTTCCCAAAAGTCCAGCAGGATTTGTAACATTTGGTGGCTGTAGTCCTACAAGTCCAGAGTTGTTAGGCAAGTTTGGAGGCAGTACCCCAAGAAGTCCAGAGCCACTCGACACATTTGGTGGCTGTATGCCCAAAATTCCAGAGTTATTTAGAATATTTGGTGGCTGGGCTCCAATAATCGCAGCATTACTGGAAACATTAGCTGGCCGAACCCCCAGCATTTCAGAATTACTTGACACATTTGGTCTCTGCACACACAGGATCCCAGAGGTGTTTGCGGGGCCAGGCGGCTGTGCTAACATTGCAGCACTACTTGGAATATCATTTGCAATCACTAAAACAGAAAGAGAAGAAATCATCTAAAGTAAGTTACTGTTATAAAAAGGAAATAAATTATTAATGCTATAATTTCCACTAGTGAACTTCAGCTACCTCCCCTCAAAGAATCATACTTTACCAGATACAGCATGAACATCAGACCTAAGATTATGAATAGTACACAGAGTAAAATTCACGTTTAAATAAAATACTCTGCACCAATGTTTTCAAACAAAAATGTCAAGTGTGTTTGCATGTGATTAAGATACCAAATAATGGGACCATTAAAAATTACTTAATGCTTTCAAACACCATTTTTAACTAGATATTAATCTGGTACAGTATCTGGTATTCGCCCAAGAGTTGCTGACCCTTGTCTTCTGACGACAGTGCCCAAGAGCAGCAGCAGCAGCAAAGGGGGAGTGCTGGGTCTTAGTGAAAAGGTCTACAAACCAGTGTTATTCTGAACAGAACATCTTTTGTAATGGTCTTCACAACACTGGGCACTAAAGTAAGGCAAGCACCTAGCACTGAGCTACGTCTCCAACCCTTGAGTAATGTCACGTCTTGTTAAGCGACACTGCAGAGCATGGAGAGAACACGTGTGGAATAACCGCAGTACCACTTTCCATTTTCGTACGAGATGGATTTCATGTCTAGGGTTTTTAGTCACTGGTTTTGTTTTTACCTGGTCTGGTGTTTTCACCAGAAGGAATCTGGTGTTCTGTAAGGTGAGGTACTTTTTCTTCAGGCTCTGCTTTATTGGGAGGATTAAAAACATTTCCAGCTGATAGAGTTGAAGGAGCAAGACCGCTGGCAACAGAACCACCTGGTAAAACAAGGCTACCAAATCCAACATCTTTCACAGTTTCTGGGGTCATGGACAATGGTGGTTGCACTAAAGCTGTTTAAACAGGACAAAAATTGATTTCAGACAATTTGTGAGCTAAGTTTTCTGGCAGCTTGAGTGATTTACTTAGTGGCATCTCAGTATTACTAAGCATGTTATAATAATCAATGCTCAAAATGACTAGTCATAACAAAGAGGCTCAATTCTATTTACAATGCTTCATTCTTTTAGAATAGAGGAAATAATTTTAAGAAATATTTTTACCAAAGGGTCTGGTACAGGAAGAGTCACTGGTGATTCTAGTAATACCAAAAAAAAAAAAAAAAAAAAAACTAATTTTCTAAGAATGTCAGCTAAGTGAACACTAAATACCCAGAAATTATTAGCAGGAACAGACAAGTAAATATCAGAATGAAAGTCTAGCCAATCTTCAAATTACAATGTGTGTGTGGGGGGGGGGGGGCGCGGAAAGATCCCTTTATATTCAGTACCTTCATCAAACAAGATTAGGGAAGGTTAACTGAAAATGTAATGCTGTAAACATGCTGAACCAAAACAGTTGGTAACAATGCTTCACATGTGTGTGCCACCTACATATAAAAGGCAGAAGCACAAGATATAACAGTCTTAGAAGTTCCAGTTCAGGGTATGTCATATGGAAAACTGTTGAGTCCTACTTGGACACATGAAGCAAAGGTGCCCCCTCTCCCCATATTCACCTCAAGAATTGCTTGAACAAACTGTCAGTATACTATAGAGATGGAACACTGGGACAAAACTACCTATGATCATGAACAGGAATTATGGGAATTAAGTGAGACAGGAAGAACAGCAGAATTGCATGCACTAGTAATCAATCCCAGGTTTGGAAACCATAGTTATTGAAAGACAGACTATAGCACAAGCCTCTTTGAGTGGTGAATTAAAAAATAACTTCTGAACATTGTAATTTTCAGAGAGATTTGAAAGCTACCTAAATAATGAGGAAAACATTTTAAATGTAAGGGTAATGGATTTAGATTTTAAGAAATTAACAAACATCTCTATTATATGTACTCTCATGAAAGGACTTTTGGAATCTAATTTTTAAAGCAAGATTGCTCAAAATTACTGTATGTTTCTTCAGAAGCCCTGTGTTTAGTAACAGGAAAAAGGAAATAGAAAATTAAAAGATAATTAAATGTCCACAAATGTTCATTTTTGTAATCCCTTAGATTAGTATGGCTTTAGTTAAGTACACAGCACTCTGAAGGCAAAGAGAGGAGTGGAGAATCTAGTTTCTTCAGGAAGTCTGGATGGCAGCACCATCCCTTTCACTATTTCCAGCATCTATGAAGCTGCAGGTTTACACTGCAAGGGAAGAGGTAAGTATGCATGTTATCATTTCAGCATGATAACAGAAGTATAAAAACAGAGCGAAGTCAAATGTGCTGTCTGTACACTTCTACTTGAAGCTGTTTGATAGTGCACATTGATAATTTCTCTATTTCCTAGTGTTGTCCACTGAAAATGTTTCCACTCAACAAAATCCTCGAGCAAACATAATCTTACTAGACTGTGGTCTGTAAATGTCATCCTGCACTAGGACAAGTGTCCGGTTCAGACTGCAGTGGAAGATACCGTATGAGCTGGGTACAATCAGGCTGGGAATCGTGAGACTCTCAGAAGCTAAGGCAGCTAACTCCAAGACACAGAGAAGCAACAAACACCAAGTCAAATACGCCATTTGACCATCAAAAGACCAGAGACTACAACTGACGGGAAGGAATCTGCTAACCCGTGAAAACACCGATTACAAACTGAAGAAATGAAGGGCAGGGGGTTTCGAAGGAGAGGAGCCACAGAAGCCTTCCTTCCCCTCCCCAGTCCCCCACTCCTCACTGTGCCTGCTGGCAGCGAGGGGAAGGTCTGACACCCACCCTGCCTCTCCTGGGCACTACACCTCAAGGGAACTAATGACCAGCAGCTGCTAAGAGTTTTCTTTGTATTAAAAAAAAAATCCTAACACAGAAATTACTATTTAGAAAGACAATTTTCAATTAATGACAGATTTAACCAATAAAAATCAACAAATTAAAAACATATTAAAACTGAACAGGTAAACATTTTCAACAGCTAAATTCCAATACCCGAATACCCTCATCAATCTTAACATTGTTAAGTATGTAAGAAAACATGAAGTGTAAACAAAACTAATATGATTATGCATTTGAATAATAATGAAAATATAAATTCATCTACCCTAACTAGGTCTCATTCGGGAGATGATAAGACAAGTTGGGCACGAGCAGGGACGGGGACACAAGTCACTTCTGTACTCTCTGCTTGACTTTGCCCTAATTCTCAAAACTGCTATCAAAAGGATTGTTTGTTTTGTTCAAAATGAACAAAAAGACACTAGGATGATATAACACAAGTCTAAGACATTTTGCTTGTCTTCTTATGAGAAAAAAGGTGATCCATAGTCTAAGCAAGTCTTTGGCGCTAATTTCCACCTTACAGGAATCTTTTATCTAGAGAGGAGCAGCTTGGAAGTCAGGAAGAGCTAGGAAACGGAAGGGAGACCCGGGCAGGACAGGATGGCTCTAGACGAGACATTTACAACCAACACAACAGAACACAACCCCCACGATGGGAGGATGTAAGTCTGGACGAAGGGCGTAGACCAGGAAGACATTTTTGGACAACCGAGCAAACATGAGTAAGAACTTCTAAGATACTGTTCATTTTCAAAATTCTCTAGCATGCATTTGTCGGAAAACTAGTATTTCACAGGAATGAGCACAAATACACTAAGACTCCCTAGGATAAAACAGACTTTGTAAATCAGTAACTCACATGTTGGTACTACTGGAGGAATTGCAGGGGGAGGTACAACAGGTGGGGGAACCGGAGGTGGCATAAAACCTACATGGGAGAAAAAAGACCAAAATAAAACAGCACAAAGAAAATGACTTGTTTAAATCAAAGGGCTCAAGATTTATAAATGAACTTCCACATTTTCTTATTGTTTTACTGTGGGGTCCTCACTCTGCTACCCAGCTGGTGTGGAACCTGTGGGCTAAGTCATTCTGCTTCAACCTCCTGAGAAATGGGAATGTTGTAGAACATTACTTAACTATGTAAAGATGTATTAATTTGTTTATGTGGCAAAATATTACTTCAACTATGTAAAGGTGTGTTATATTTGTTTATGCTGCATTTGTTTAATGATGTAAAGATGTGTTGCTTTGCCTAAGGCACCTGACTGGTCTAATAAAAAGCTGAATGGCCAATAGCTAGGCAGGAGAGAAATAGGTGGGCTGGCGGGGAGGGGGAATAAGTAGGAAGAAAAATTTAGGCTCCAGGGAAAGGAAAGCTAGGGACAAAGAGAGAGAGAGATGCTCAGGGACAGCCAGGCAGGCAGCTACCCGTCAGCCACACATAGAAGCAGCAGGAAAGTAGGACATACAGAATGAAAGAAAGGTAAAAAGCCCTCAGGTAAAATGTAGATGAAGAGAAACAGGTTAAGTTAAAAGAACTAGGGGACAAGCATAAGATAAGGCCGAGCAGTCATAACTAATAATAAGTGCCTGTGGCTTTACTGGGAAGCTGGTTGGTGGCACAAAAGAAAGCCTGCTACATGGGACCTCAGTGCTCCTATAGTGCTCCACTAGAACAGCAAATTTTCACAGCCTTGAAATGGCCTCCATTAGCATGCTGATGGATCTGTGCAATATTCTACACTGAAAATGACTTCTATATACACTTTACTTGATTCCTATAAGCCAGATAAAGCAGTTATCCTGATCATAAGGTTCTATTTATTTACTCACTCATTCAAGTCTGGTGAAAGGCTCTGCACTGCAGATCGGTGTCATTAACTACAGAATCAAGTGGTTTATGTTGGAATGCTGACCACAGGAAAAGTGCTAAACCTATCTCAAGCCACTGGTCACAATATGTAAATTAAGCTATACATCTGTCAGCTATTTTATTTCCTTGACACATTATGCTCTTTACCAGTAGGTTGAAATATTTTGTTAGCTTTAGATGATATGTTTAAAGTTCTTGAATAAAAATCTTAAACTATAAAGACATTTTTATGATCCTACAGACCACATGACCAAATTATAAATCTGCTTCTTTGCAGTTTTTAAAGTTAGAGTTACTGTTAAATTAAATTAGAAAATAGTGAGTAAAAATAAAAGCTGCCGAAAGATGTGACCCAATGGATCAAAGTCTGGAGAATAGACCCACAAAGCTAGTTCTGTTGTATGTTCAAGTCTGAGAACCACTGCTTTATGGCACTGGGAGCCCAAAAAGAACAACAACGATATTCTAAACAGAGTTCAAGCAATAAGACATAAATTCCTTACCAGGAGGTGGTTGTGAAGGGTTAAAACTTGCTCGAAGAAAAGGAGGAGGAGGGATTGGGCTGAATCCAGGAGGTGGGACCGGCATCGACACAGGAAACGCTGGTGGAACTAGACTAACTGCAGGAACCGCTGGAGCTACTGGAATCTTTTATGGGTAGAAAAATGTCTGTTAGCCAATTTATCCACCTGAAGTGATTATTACATTTTGGCATAAAGGCAAACTACATTTTTTTTAAAAGGAAAGTAATAAATGTCATTACATTTAAGTTTCTCTTTTTCTACACTTTTTGAGTCAATCTTCTTAGGGTTAAAGCAGACAGTATGAGTCAATAGGTAATTTACCTGCAGAGTGTAAGGTCTCTCTTATATTTAAATGAATTAATGAGAACTCAGCTAAGCATCGAGGCTCAGGCTTCAGACTCATTAGCGCCTGCTCGACCACCAGGCTGCCTCTAAGAAGCACACAACAGAAGCTTTCAAAGAGCATCAAATTCTCTAAACTCTGTTATCGAATCTTAACACAAATATCTTTTATTCATCATAGCGACAAAAAGCCCCAAACTTCTCTCTAGCATGGCTTTATCTCTTTCCTGAACCTCAAATGGTACCAAGTCTGTTTAGCATCTCAACTTCATTGCCTAAGGAGTACTATACTGTAAAGGTCACATGTACAGAAAAGGAACTCCCAACTGCTATTCCCAAGAGACTGCTCCTCGGGTCATTTTCTATTCTCAGAAAATGGGAGCTCCCATATTTCTAGTTTCTTGGACCTAGTATCCCTTTCTCCTTTCTTCAACTCCAATCAATAATCTAGGAAACCCCACTAGTTGTCCCTCCGGTCCTCTACTGTCTGACAGGCCTCTTTACTTCCGTCACATTCTTCTCCGTGTCACAACCACTCTCATGTATTTGCTACAGTGACTTTCACTCCACCTCTTCTTTTATAAATGTTCAGTGTGGCCTACTCACTATAAACCGTATCCAGTGCAATGTTTTACACGTCATTCCTCTGATCCTCCTCCTCCTCCAGTGGTTTCTTCAACTCACAATGAAGATGAATTCCTTTGAGAGCTGAGCTTACAGGCATGACTCTAGCCACTTGCTAGTCCTGGAGCACCAAGCACGCTCCTGGCACCTGACCTTCAGTGTGGATTTCTTCTGCTTGTCACGCTCTTGCTCAGATGCTGCAGTGGATACTTTCTTCGCCATGCAGTTGTTGAGCTAGCACCCTGGGCACTGTCTTAAGACTGCAGGCTGCAGTGTAGACACTCTGAACCACCGCATTCTACTACCCCCAGGATCTATCTCATCCTCTCGGTCTGTCTCCCCGAAGGACAATGAAAACTCCAGGTTTACCATGGGTGTGCCCCAAGCCTCAGAGCTCCTACAACAATGCACAACTCAGCACTAGCACTCAGTACATATTTAATGCATAAACATTTAAGTATGAATAATATTTCCAACAATGATTTTTCAAAATGTTTCACTAAATTCGGTGAAATAATCTAATGAATTTATCAAATAATCTTACTGATACAAATTTGCTTCCAAAGAAAGTGTAAGTCTAAAGAAACTACCACAAATCAGAAGGTGTTATAGCTCCTAGTCACCTGCTTAATCTTCAAGCAATGATGCATTGCATATGAAGAACATTTTTAACATCTGAAAGATGACAAGCAGTTCTCTGTCGTAACTGGGACAACAGACTCCAGCTGTCACACATCAACAAATCAGCTTTGGAAGATGGACGGTGGCAAAGAAGCCAGCTAGTACTAACCTGCAGCATGGCCACAGGCGGAGGGAAGACCTCTGCCTGTGTTGTGACCACCGTCTCCTTTTCAACTGGAGTTGGACTCTGTGTAGTCTGGACCGTCTCTTTAACGGGTTCTGAGGTTTTCACAGTTTCCCATTCTAAACAAAATATTTGAAATTGATTTCCTTTAAATGCAGCTTTTCAGGTTTGTTTGTTTTTTTTTCATTTACATTAATATCTAAACCCTTGCCAGACCTATCTTCGCAAATCTAAAAATAACACATGAGATAAAAATGACAACACTGAGCTGTAACAGAAATACCTCATAGGTCACCTGATAATGAGAAACCAGACCTGTTCTGTCCATTATCAAGCACAAAAACCAAAGTATTAGCTCAATACAGAGAAATCCTCCAAAGAAGACAAGAACAGAAAAATGGAAGTAGCTGGGCATGTGGCACATGCCCGAAGCTGAGCGCTTAGGAAGTAGAGGCCCTAGGACATGAGTTAGAGGCCAGCCTGGGTAACATGAAATCAATCACGGTCCTGTATTTTTACATGACAAGAGCAAATGTGAGTAGTCAGCTTTTGCTTGTGTGCATCTGCCTTCATCTCCTGTATGTTCCATGTTCACGAAGCTCTGGCATGCTGCTTCCCAAAGTGGATACATGTTTCACATCTTCAGATATGCTCTACCCCCTTGGAACTACATCCACTCACAATGTAATGCTCCCATGGCTCGGCTCTGTTCCGTGTGTGTGTGTGTGTGTGTGTGTGTGTGTGTGTGTGTGTGTGTGTCTGAGACAAGGTCTCACCATACAGCCTGGCCTGGAACTTGGTATGTGGACCAGGCTAGCCTAAAAGAAATACAGAAACCTGTCTCCCAAGCAACAGGATTGAAGGCATGTGCTCTACCATGCCTGGTCTGTGCTTTATACCAACACAGAAATCCTATATAGGTTTTCTTGCTTATTATTTATTTATTTTGAGTAGAACATGTTTGCCCCCCCCCCAAATACACAGTAGAGACTCTACAAGCCAGGGGTCTCTCTGTTCTAAATATATACTTGCTGCTATAAACAAGCAAGCAAACAAACAAACAAACAAACAAACAAATGGGGAGTGGGAAGAGGGGGAAGAAAGGAAAGAAAAAAGAAAGGAAAGTCCTGAAGACTATGTACACAAACAAGCATGGCTTGGTCCCACAGAGCTCCTTTTTCACAACAGGCCTCTGGCGGGCTCCAGTGCAGACTCCAGACCATGGCAGCCTGGGCCATACAAGTCAAAGGTGATTGCTGCTTTCTGTTTTCCTATTACGTCAGTTCCTGAAGAATCAACTTGTCACACAGCAGTAACTTAGACAACTGAAAGAAAGACTGTCCTAGGAAAAAGGCAGCAAACAAGACACTGGGTTGATGCGGGTGGTCCTGCGGTCAAATCAAGGACCCTGCACATCCTAAGAACATGTTCTGCTACCTGAGGGCCATCTCCAGGCAGAAGGCAACAATATCAAAAAGATGTCTGCATATGTTCCTAACCATGAGAACCCTGAAAGCAGGCTAGTTTTGGTAAGAGAGCTAAGACACGAAGAAACACAGAACAGATTACACTTTGGATCAATCCCAAATATCAATGAGTACTTCCTTCTGGTTGTAGCCGATTGTGAATTTGTAACTGTGAATTTTTTTAAATAAAAAAAAAAAATACTGGTACTTTTTAAAAGAGCGGGGCATACAAATATTTGGTTATGGGCAATGTAGGAAGTGTTTCAGAAGGTATTACGCTGCAGTACTTGAGTACACTACTAAAAATGAACTCCACCTAAAATCTTCTGGAATTTCTCCAACAAGTTTCTCAAATCCTCAGTTCCCACTTAAAACTGATGGAATTAAAACTTGTTTTCTTCAACAAAGCCTCCATGGTACAAAGCTTTCTCTTCAATATAATAAAAATGTTAAGTCATAAAAGAAAAAGGACCACATTTGGAGGCTTCCATTCAGTACTTTTCTAACCTGTTCCTTGACACCTAATGATATGTAAAACAGTGAAAAAGCAACATCAGAAAGGACATCAACTCTTTGTTTGCAGCTGACGCCAGGGAATAAGCACAGTTTACTCTGCATCCCCAAACACATTTACATAACAACCTTCTGAAGTACACTTTTAAATAACAAAAAGCATTAGCATTCTCACCAGCATTTACAGTTTCCTGGTCTATCATGCCTCCTTCTGCAAAGCCATCCAAGTCATCCACTTTAACTTTTTCCCAAGGTATATATGTGACTCCAAGATCCACATCCCAGAACTGTTTATATTCCGTCTTTACACCTTTGTTCAAAGCCCAGGCAATCTATTGGGAATGGAGAGAGAAAAAGGAAGATCACAGATACACTATAATAAAAATAAAGTTCAAAATCATACTTAAGCAAATAGAAACAAAACTCGTTTTCTTGAGTACTTGTTTTAAACTTGTACTAGAGATAATATTTGCAATATAAGATCTGTTTCCATGTCTTACCCACCTCTAAACTCATTTTTGGAGAAAACACAAGTCTAATTTTCACAATAAAAATCTCAGCTCGATTTGGCAGTAACTAGGCAACTTTGTACACCATGCCAGCATACATAAGCAATACCTGAGTTTACACACATGAACTATCTATCAGGAAATGATAAAGATGGGCAGACATACTCTTCAGAAAGAGTTCAGAGTTTTAATTTAGGCACAGAAGCTGACTGGATGCATTTTCTCTAAAAAGTCAAAATGAAATTCTGAGTCAATCACCAGCAATGAGAAAACACTTCATAAATTCTCAATTTAAAGACTAAGAAGAAAACAAATGCTTGCAGATACTCTTTACAAGGTGGTTGGCTAGATAAAATGAGAAGGAATAATAAAAATAAAAATAAAAATAATAATAATATGAACAAGTGCTGGGAGAAAAAGTAAATCAAAGACAAATCTGTAAATATGAACAGGCTCTAACCAAGATGAGGTGTGAGCTGGTACAGATTTGTGTAGGTGTGAACTTAAGGAACAAACTCAGTTTGGACTAGTAAGTTAGTGTACATATTCCAAACTATAATAACTCAGTAATTCTTAAACCATAAGCTTGCTAGGAACATTAAAGATAAGGTTGACTCTAAACTCAATGTAAGAACATGTGCTTAAATTAACATGTTCAAGACTAGGTCTGATCCACATCAAGGGGTAAGGGGTGAAAAGAACTGGAGCATTCTAACAGTCCAAACAAGTAAGACCATATGACCTTCCTATGAAAACCGCAAGACTGTAACACAGCAGGTGCCGGAATGTCAGCTGTCACTCCACCATAAACTCACCCAGGAAAACTCACCTTAATGACCTTGGAACCAATTTTATAGGATCCTGAACTCAGTTTCTGAAGAGCCCGAAAAGAATCTTGTCGATGAACCATACAGACATATGCACAGCCCCTGGGTGGAATCATCTATGAGGGGAAAATCCTTTCTTAACAGCGAGCACAAGGATTGACATTGATTCTGACATTTGCTTCTAGTCAAACAGAACACAGTGACAACTGACTAAATCCACAATTCAATTTTGGTAGATGACCAAATTAATTGTCTTTCTATCTCCAACACTTTATTGATGCAACATATGCAATCAATTATTTAGTTTTCATAAGCCCCATATTCATGCCTTAATTAGGCTTCCATTTAAGCCATGATAAAGGTGAACTCTTGAATACATGTCATCAGTTCCTTGACTACAGAATACAGAACATACTATTTTTTTTTTTTTTTTTTTTGGTTTTTCGAGACAGGGTTTCTCTGTGTAGCTTTGTGCCTTTCCTGGAACTCACTTGGTAGCCCAGGTTGGCCTCGAACTCACAGAGATTCGCCTGGCTCTGCCTCCCGAGTGCTGGGATTAAAGGCGTGCGCCACCACCGCCCGGCAGAACATACTATTAAAACAAAGAAAGGGACAGCTCCATTTTCAAGCTGACAGGTAAAACAGGAAGAGAAAGAGAGAGGAACAAGGGAATCTTGTTGATAAACATTTAATGCTAGCCGGGCGGTGGTGGCGCACGCCTTTAATCCCAGCACTCGGGAGGCAGAGCCAGGCGGATCTCTGTGAGTTCGAGGCCAGCCTGGGCTACCAAGTGAGTTCCAGGAAAAGGCGCAAAGCTACACAGAGAAACCCTGTCTCGAAAAACCAAAAAAAAAAAAAAAAAAAAAAAAAAACATTTAATGCTTTTAAGAATTAAGAGCTATCCTGCTACAAAACCCTATGAATATTTTGTTATGATACTTTATTAAAAAGAAGATATAAATGGCTTCAAAGCAAGCAAAGAAAAATGAACAAAATAAACAAATCTTGTCAAGTTGTGGAGATCCTATGGGGCTTAACTAGTATTCGAAGAGTGAGAAACGGCCAATTTAAAACACTGTCTTAGTGCTCAAGAGATACCTACATTAATAGATTCAATTTGTCCAAACTCCTCAAAGAGGTTGGTTAGATCTTGTTGTGTAGCCTTCTTATCCACTTGGCCAACCCAGAGAGTAGTGCTGCACACTGTCAAGACAAAGAAGGAGAGGGCTTAAATCACAAGACACAGCTGCCTCAAGCATTAGTGACAATCGCTGGAACTGAAGGTAACATACATTGAATGTCTGACAGCTACACACAGAAAACTGCTGCATTTTAAACTGACTGACAGGCCTGAAGGCTCAGCGGTTAAGAATAGTGGCTACTCCTCTAGAGGACCCGAGTTTGAGTCCAGCACCCACATGGTGGCTCACAACCATCGCAACTCCAGTCTCTGAGAAACAACACCCTCTTATAACTTGTGCAGGCACTAGGCACATATGTGGTGCAGAGATACACATGCAGGCAACACGCCAATATGCATTTAAACAAAATAACAATAAAAGCCAGGCAGTGGTGGCGCACCCCTTTAATCCGAGCACGAAGGAGACAAAGGCAGATGAATCTCTGAGTCTACAAAGCGGGTTCCAGAAGGGCCAGGGATATACAGAAAAAAATCTATCTCAAAAACCAAACCAAAACAAAAACCTTACTGACATTTACTATCTATTTACATTTCTATGGAGCCAACTTCCTGCACGCACCAATTTGCAAGCTGAACACCTGTGGACACCTCTGTCCAACCACTGGAGAAAAGCACTGTGTGAGATTAGGAGAGAAGTTTAAAATTCCCCAGCTGACACTAAAGTACAACAGTTTTGAAACTATTTCCTACATATGGACCTTCTTAATATCTGAGTGTTGGAATGACTCAGTGGATGTTTCCTCCTAACCAACAGATAAATCTAAACCTGTATGAGCTGCCTCATCCATAGGGAAATAAGACTTTGCCAAGAGACGCAAAAAGGAAATGGGTAAATCAGGACTCCCTAACTTGAAGATGAAGTGATTGGCATGACTTTGTGTGTGCCACTCATGTATGCAGAGGCCAGAAGAGCGTGAACTCCTTAGAGCCTCAGCACCACACACGGATGGAAGTGACCTGAATGCTGGTCCTCACGACTGAGTAGTAGGTGCTCTTAACCTCCAGCCTGCAAGCTACTTCTGTTTGGGGCACAAAAGTTGAAGAGGAAAACACTCTGGACTGTTCATGCTTCCCGAATACCTCCTTTTCCAGACAACACACATGCACAGCTTTAATGTACTGCATGTTGATGTTTGTCCATGTCGTTTTCCAGCACTTTAACCCTGACAAAAGAGGTCTAGGAGCAGGTGTTTCTAGGGTTAACCTCATACTAAAGTGTGATCCTTGACAAGACCACTACCAAGAAACACTACTCTTGCCGGTCAGAACTCCAACACCATTCAGATGCACACAAACTCTGAAAACCATCTAGCTAACACAGACCGTGACAACTGCCCTTTCTCAGCAAGTTTCTTCTGTCTCACAGTCTCACTCTGTGTAATTCTCAACTCATGTTTCATCAATCATCTTCAACTTTTTAATATTTTAAATTAAATCCCAGGGTCCAGTGAGATGGCTCAGCAGACAAACTTACTTTGCCAGGACTTATACCCTGAGTTTGACCCAAGAAGCCTGCCCAGTGGAAGGAGAGAAGTGACTCCTCTAGGTTGTCTTCAGACCACACACACATATGGGGCACATGGGAGCACACACAAACATATACACACAGAATGAGAGTCAGAGAAATGCATACATTTTTAAGTGGATCTTTAAGAGACTACAAAGTCTGCTTTTTAACCGAGTGCAATAATTTAAATGGAATGTGTCTCCCAAAGTCTCATATGTCATAGGCTCAGTTTTAACCCACAGCACCATTGAAAAATCGGTGAAACTTTTAAGAGATGCGGCTCAAGTGGGGTCCTGCACTTGAAGGGGACAACTGTCTCCATTCTACTTTCCAGACACAATGAACAGTCAAAAGGAGCAAGCTCAGGCAACTTTAACTGCAAATACATCCTTGCTGATTTCACAGTGACAGAAAGCTGCTCCACTACCCTGCAGTGCAATGCAGTGTAGGCCAGTCCTGTTGATGTGGAGGTAAACAGCTTCGGGGCTTTATCACCTTACAATAATGCTTCCTGCTTCATTATTACCCTGTTCTGTAGACTCTAACTGCTTTAGTCTATGCTATTGTTTGCTAATTTTACAATGCTGCTCTACAATGTTTTTTTGTCCTAAGAAGAGGTCATGATTCTTCCCAATCCCAAAGAGAGGCGATACTTGGTTACTGGGATATTAGTCTGTTGATACTTCACACCACTGACTGTCCCCGAAAGCTCTGTATGGTACAATCTATGTCCAGAACCACCAATGGCGGACTCAACCACTCTAGTTCAAATGTGTTGAAAGAACAGCAATTAAATGAAACTGGTTCTACTTCAAGATAAGGAGAGGTTTATTTTGTTGTTGTTTTTTGAGACAGGATTTCTCTGTGTAGTTTTGGTGCCTGTCCTGGAGCTTGCTCTGTAGATCTGCCTGGCTTTGCCTCCCGAGTGCTGGGATTAAAGATGTGTGCCACCATCACCCAGCCTGATAAGGAGAGTTTTAAGGTACAGTACACAATGGAAGATACAGTCACCATTGTACTTTCTCATGTGCTTGTTGAGTTTTCCATCTTAAAATGTCTAACTATTAAAAAGTAAAACAGCACCGGGCTGTGGTGGTGCACGCTTTCTAGTCCCAGTATTTGCTAGGTAGAGACAGGTGGATCTCTGTGATTTCAAGGCCAACCTGATCTACAGAGTGAGTTTTAGGATAGCCAGGACTACACAGAGAAACCCTGTCCTGAAAAAAATAAAACAAGCAATACGCACGCACGCGCGCGCGCACACACACACACCAGCAATAGAAAATAAATTCCATTATGATTCAGTCACAAAAATGAAATGAAATTCTGATGCTTGTGAAACATCTATGGAACCAGAGGGAATCGTATAAAGGGAAATAAGGCAAGACAAAAAGAATACTGTGTTTTCTCACTACTAGGTGGAAACTGAAAAAGCTGATGTCACAGAAGTAGAGAACCTAAGAGAAGAACAGAAGGCTGGGAAAGGTATTCAATGCACAGACAGGGGTTGACAGTCAGGCACAAAACACCTTTGGCAAAAGGAACCTAGCCTGCAAAGCACATACAGATCTTTGCAAACAAGTCTAAAGGTGGATAATGTCTAAAACTTCAGAAAAGAGGCTGAGAGCTCACTATTAGGTGGTGAGGAAGGACAAAAGAACACAAGTCATGAACATAAAAGAGAATTTAAAAGCTGTTTATTACTTTCCACTCCATCATAGTGTTTCTTACATGGTTGGTAGGTGCATGCGTGCAACTTGCTATGTCTACTGCAACAGGAAGAACGGTTTTCATTACCTAAAAGAACCCAGCACCTGCCATTCGTGAGGCAGCACCTGTGGGTCCTGGCTGGGCTTACTTCCTAATGCAACTAACATTTCAGCAAGAGAACTAGACACCACAGGTCACTGAAGACACATATCACACTGAGCCACGTAGAACGTGATTTTTTTTTTTAAATCTTGGGGCAGCGGGTGTGTGTGTGTGTGTGTGTGTGTGTGTGTGTGTGTGTGTGTATAACCTGAAAGCTTCCACTTTTTTCCTTTGATGCAAAACTACATCAAATTATTCTACTACATTGTTATTTAACATAAAGTACAGTTTTATTTTTAAGAGGAATAATGATGATCTACAGCAGTAACAAGAGTTAAATAATCATTTGAGTTTTATATGTTAATTGCCCTAAATCGATCATTATATGGTATTAGCATGTACAAAAATATCATGTTGTACCCCACAAGTATGTATAATTATGAGGTGTCAAACACAATATATTTGGGGAACTCGAAACTGGGCTCAGCAATTAAAAGCACATGCTATTCTTATGGGAAACTCAGATTCCGTTCCTACCACCCACATGGCAGCTCACAGCTGTCTATAGGTCTAGTTAAAGAGATTCAATGTTCTCTTCTCACCTCCATGGGTATTAAGTACGCATGGGGTATGCACACATACATGCATGTACACAAAACACTCATACATATAAAAGTAAATCTTTTTTAAGAAGCACAAAACTTTTCAAAGAGAAAAGTGGATTCCATGCCTGTGCCAGTTGGTTTTTATGTTAACTTGGCACAAGCTAGAATCATCTGATAGGAGGGAACCTCAACTGAGAAAATGCCTCTCTCAGGCAAGCCTGTTGGGCATGTTCTTTATTAATGACCGATGTGGGAGGACATATCCATTGTGGGTAGTGCCCCTCCTGCGCTGTCAGTCCTGGGTTCTGTAAGAAAGCGGCTGAGCAAGCCAGTAAGCAGCACTCTCCACAGCCTCTGCTTCAGCTCCTGCCTCCAGGTTCCTGCCCTGACTTCCTTCAATAATGAACAGTGATGTGGAACCATAAGCAGAATAAACTCTTCCTCAAGTTGTTTTTGGTCATGGTGTTGCCCATGTGATAGTAGCCCTGACTAAAGCAATGCTCAATACCATCACAAAGTGGGTGAGGAATACTTGAAGAGATAGTAAATTGAAAGCCCTACTGTTAAGAAAGTAATGATTCTCAAAGACCCAGGGGTTATTACACAAATGTAGAGCAGAGATTTTGGGGGTGGGGGGGTGGTCAGTTTTTTTTTTTATATTATTTGTCAACCAACACTAAAATATTTAAATTTGGTCCCTTATGATGAGGAACAAATAGAATTTGCACTACTCAGAAGTTGCACTAGCTCTTTATAATGTGAGAAGGTTCTGGAAAGATAAGCGGGGTCTACGGAAATTGGCAGAACTTATTAAAAAGATGCCACTGCCTTTGATTTTTGGGAGGCTGAATTTCATGATGCTCTAGCAGTATCAAATGAGGGTTTGAGTTCACTTTCCAGGAGCCACATGAAAAGCCTAGGATGTATGTGTGTGATCCCAGTGCAGGCAAGTCCACACATGGCTATCTACAGCAATTACTGATGCGGGGGTGACTTATGTGAAGACCACCAGAAAGTAACGCCAGTCTCTAGCTCTTGGGCAAATGACAATGTACTCTCTGTCACATGCTTCCTTGGTCACCTGTCGTCTGTTAGTTCTCCCTAGACATGGTAATGCATTAATAAACCCCTAGACAGAACCTGGCAGAAACAGAAATCATTTGTTGTACTGAACGTGACCCAGCTCCTGAAATAAACCCTGCCATGACCAAATCTGTTAAGTACACAAAATCGCCTAACATACAGAGGGAAACAGGCTGGTACCACGGCCATTTCTCTTCTGGTACAAACCATAAGGTTATAATTTAACAATTACACCAAGGTTGGGCTAGGGGTTGAGCTCAGTTATACACAGATTCACCTAGCAGGTACAAAACCCTGGATTTAATCTCCAACACCACACCCACACCCACACAAACTGAATATAAAACTAAGTATATAAAAATGCAGCAAAGTACACCTTTGTGTCCTAATTACTCCTTCAGATTTGAATACTCACAGCTGTTAGTTAGTACTGTCAGCAGTCAACTGACCCTGTCATGTTACAGATATCAGCCTGGTATGTTTTATGTACCCTTGGTAAAGCCACACTTCACAACTTGCATTAAGCATTCTTGATGATCTTACATATATCTGCTAATCTGTTTTTCTTTCACAAAAGTCTGAGTCAAAGCCATTTAATTACTAATAAGCTCCTTTCTTTTCAGTTTCTTACTCTGAAAAAAAAATTGGGTAAGAGATTTTTATAGCAGAAAGCTAGATTGTTTATTTAGTTGTTCTGGAGGAGAGAGTGACCTCCATCATATGTAGAGATCAGAGACCAACTGCTGTGGAACAATCTTTGTACACTGTAAACAGGTATTACTCTCACTGGTTAATAAAGACCTCACTGGCCTATAGCTGGGCAGGAAGAGACTGAGTGGAAGAGCCAGACTTGGAGAATTCTCAGAAGAAGAAGGACAGAGTCAAAAGAGTAGCAAGCCAGATGCAGAGGAAGCAGGGCATGTACAAAATGAGGTAGCAAGCCATGAGCCAAGTGGTATATAACTTAGATAAGAAATATGGGTTAATTTAAGTTCTAAGAGCTAGTTAGTTATAAGCCTGAGCTACAGACTAAGTACTTATAATCAATATTGAGTCTTCGTGTCAGTTATTTGGAAACTGGCAAGCGGGAAAGAAAAATCCACCAACACCCAACCTTACGTATACTCCCTCGAGAACTGTTGTTTCTGATGCACAGTCATTTGCTGGCCTGGAGTTCACCAAGTAGGCTAAGCGGGACAGTGTGGAATGCACCTATGTCCACCTTCCAAACACCAGGGTCACACACCTTTCCAGGCTTTTCCTGTGGGCTTCTGCAGCAAGCACTCTACTAACCTAACCTGCGTCCTCCCCGCGGCAATAGAAAACTGGTTTCCAGCACTAAGAGGGAAGTCTGATGCAAGTATGTTACTCACCACTTAGAGTTTTTGATCTGACAGGAGGCAATCCCTTTTTTTGGCGTTCTTTCTCCCTTTCTCTGGCTCTTCTTTCACTTGAATATGATCGTGATGATTTTCTCTTTCTCTCTCTAGAACGAGAGCGGGATCGCTTCCTATGTTTTCGCTTTCTCGACCCAGATCGTGACCTGGACCTTCGTTTTCTTGGTGATCTACAAAAACATAGTTATTTTTACTTCGAATGACAGTGTTCTCTTTCCATCAAACCTTTCGATTTGAAGTGAATGAGAAAAGGCAGATTTGTTATATTTAACCACCTCTTAAACTATTCTATAGTATAACCAACTATTAAACATGTATTCCACATGTAGTTTTGTGCTATGGATAGACAGATTACTAATAGATGTTAGATGATTCCAAGTCTGAGACTTCATTCATTAAAAACAGGAAAAATACAATTCACTAAAGGACCTCACTTTCTCTTAGTGTCTTTCAGTTCATTTTCACACAGAATAGGAATAAAAAGCAAAGAAAATACAGACTAATTAGGTGACTCAAATGTTACATTTTTTTAAATTAAGACGCAGAATATTTCCAGCACAGTATGAAGACAGAGTATAATTCTGTTTAATACTTTACAACTTCTAAAATGTTATCATTCTTGACTTTACTATGTAAGCGGATGCTGTCACTTATTTACTGTACATGTTTGCAAATATGTTACCATGTAAAAAGTGGAATGTGAAAATACCAAAGACTCATGACTTGGTTTTGATTATAGGACCTGTTTTCTACTGCCTTGCAAGTATATTAACATTCAAAAAACCTGTTCTGTGGCTGTCTTTAAAGACATTTTTGGTACTGCTATTCAATAATTTGGACGTGAGAAATACAGCCTGACTTACATGCTGTTCAGAAGCAGTAATACCCCAAGTAAGATACCATGCTAGTATCAACTAAAATCAACTATAATCCAAAATCACCTCATGATAACAGCTGTTCCTGTTAAATAAAGCACTCAAATAGCAGACCTATCACAAAGGTTTTCTCTGGGTTTTATTTTCAATTACTTCTAAAAAATACTTTTTAGAAAGCATTTTAAAAATTACTTTAAGTATTTCGTTTAATCTTGATGCAAAGAAAAAAACCAAACATTACTGTTAAATATTATTATAGAACCTTGATCGAGATCGCGAGTGAGTTCTTGATCTTGAGCGAACAGCTACTTTCTTAGCTTCTGGTTCAAAGATCTCCTCTTCAACAACATCTTGTCCTTCATCAATATCCATATCCTTGGAAAGCAAAGTTAAGAGCATATAAACAAAAACAGCAGTTAAGATTTAGCATACAAGTGCAGTTCTACCTTAAAAATATTAGCAATGAAGCATTAATGCCTCACAGGTAACAAAGCTAGGGATGTGGAACACCCACAAGACAAACTGCATCCAGGATACAATATATTCACAAAGAACCTTACGTGGTAAAATGGCTTTGGACATTTATGGCCCAGAAAGCACTGACTTTTACCTGTTGCTGAATGTCTATGGAATCATCTAAATTTGCTTCGGGTTCCAGAAAATGCTGCTGGCTACTTCCTTGTGAGGGTGACGCTGAGTGCTCTGACCCAAATGTTCCCTCCTGGCTATCTTGAGGAGTTACCTGTTGAGAACAAACCAATGTTCTGAGACAACATCACTACAAATGAGAACTTGAATACAGCAAACATTACAATTAAATGCTGAAAGGGAGTCATATTCATGGCAAGCCATTCTTAGAGTAATTCACCTGAAGTCTTTTGTATAAATCCAAGTCTACTTTTAAAAAGTAGAGTCCCATAAAAAGGGCACTATATATAATTGTATAAAATAGTTAGATGGAGTATGTCCTCAAGAACATTTTTAAGTGTCAGAAATATAAACTATTGAGGAGTAATACACAGACAGTACTTAATGGTACTTAAAGGTACTACATTAAGTGAATCTAGAACTACATGATTAATTACTATCAACAAAATACTCTGAAGGTCCAATTAAAACCTTATATTCAAAAACTTAAATCACATATTATATGCCTAGAAGCAAAACAATACCCAAAGTCACTACCAAAATTAGTGACTTAGCAAAACTATCCCCAATTAGGTTCTTCCCCAACTACTTTCTCTAGAAATCATAAAAGTTACAGGAAATACAGTGTGATGTGTAATATTTAAAGTTTTAGTACAAGTTAGGCAAATAAAGACAAACTTAGGGGAACAAGGAATGCCCCCACATCCTAAGGAGTACAGTAACAATATATAGTGATGTGGCTACCTTGATGTTAATGAGTATGACCTGAGTAACAATTTAAATACTGACTTAATTAAAACATGAAGAAACTCAATAGAGGAGAAGCAATCTGGTAGAAAATCTTCTAGAACATGATCTTACAGGAATCTAGAGGGAGTAAGTTCCTGGTGGTACACAGGCTAAAAACAAAGAAAAGAACAACTACACACTAATGTTCCCTTGTTACAAACTGTTCAGGAACAATCAACTCCCAAAAAGAGAGAGCAGCCCACACACCTTAGACATGCAAAAGCAAGATGAAGAGAAAGGGAAAGACATGAATTCACAAAGAACAGACAGCAGCGAACGTGCCACATACTCGCCCAGCAGGAAATGACCAGCTCTAGTTAGGTGGAAATGACCAGCTCTAGTAAGGTTTAAGAAAGTCTATTCACCAGGCATAGGGGTATATGCCTTTAAACCCAGCACCTGGGAGGCAGAGGCAGGCAGGTCTTTGTGAGTTCAAGGCCAGCCTGATCTACATAGTCAGTTCCAGGACAGATGGGGCTACATAATGAGACCCTGTCTCAATAAAAAGAAAAAGAAAAAAGAAAGTCTAAGCAATTAAACAGGCAAGCACAGAAGGTTAAGACCTGCTGGTGAGAATAAGCTTTGTGCCTCATGGTGATATTTCAACTAGACACTAGCACAAGACCTAGAGAGCTTTGTTCCTGGAAGTCATTAGGAGTCTGGTAGTCACAGTGGTGTCCTCACTGTGTGGGGACCACAGGGCACTTTGGTTCTGCTTCAGTTGCATTGTTCATCAGTAGTCTCCTCAGGCTGTCTTTTTAATGAAACACCGTACAGGAAGAGTGTGAAGCATATGTATTAACAGGATACATGGGTCAGAGTAATCCTGGAGCTGACAGCCTTAGGAATTTATATCACCTTAGTACGTATATTTTCCTAAATATACATGTTTAGAATAAACTAAACGTTCTGTGAATGGTTTACTTCAAGTTCAGAATATAAGGTTCCGTGGGTAAAGGTACCTGCCACCAAGCTTTAGGACCTGGACTCAAGCCCTGAAGCTCACATAGTAGATAGAACAAGAGAACCAACTCCTGCAAGCTTTCATCTGACCTCACACACCTGCTACCCCAAAATAAAGAAATGAATGAATGAAAATCAAATTAATCAAGGCAGGCAGTGGTGGCACAGGCCTTTAAACCCAGCACTTGTGAAACAGAGGCAGGCAAATCTCAGTGAGTTCAAGGACAGCCTATTCTACAGAGTTCCAAGGCAGCAGGTAAGGATACAGAGAAACCCTGCCTGAGGGGAAAAGGGGAAAATTAGTCCATACTATGCTTTTTACAAAAGTGAACTTACACTGGCTATAATCTGAATCTATTTTCCCTCCATTTCATTCTCAATGCAAATTACCAATGTGATAACATATAGCTGCTATCTTATATTTGGTTCTTTAATACACCATTACAATAAACCATTTTGATGTAAGACTAGGATTTCTGTAGTGTTTAAGCTGCATTAAACTAATCGGCATAGTAATCTGTTTACAAGGAAATTGAAAGTATGTTGCTCTTATGAATGGTACATTTTACAACTAGAAGGAAAGAAGGCATCATAAAATTCAGGGCAGAGTTTTAAATAACAATTGCTAAGTCCCTCAGTATCTGAGGAACAGGCAGTGTTTTGTTTTGTTTCAAAGTTGATAAATACACATTAAGCAAAAGTCAGAACAGACAAGTGTCTCCTGAATCAAAAGGCAGTCAATAAGTGTAGCCTTTGTTTATCTTTTCCTTAACATTATAGTAATGGATGTTTGCCTATGTGTCTGGCTGTACAATATATGCATGCAGTGCCCAAGGAGGTCAGAAGAGGGCACTGGATCTCCTGGGACTGGAGTTGCAAATTGTTGGGAGCATTCATGCGGAAACTGGGAATCTAATCTAGGTCCTCTGGAAGAGTAGCCAGTCCTCTTAATCACTGAGCCATCTCTCAGCCCCATGTAAGTATAATCTTCCAGAATGCATCAACACTAACTGAAATGCTAAAGTGGTACAGGAACAACACACTCTTGGCCATACATCAGAAAGATTTTCATTTTTTCCTAAGTTCTACAGTCTGTGTTTAGCCTTCTTTGAGTGCTAGATACTGAAGATATTTAATTTTCTGTTCATGGCTAAGAAAACTCAGAGACGTACACACTCCACAATAATTAAAGCAGAAGAGAAATACAATAAATAGCATGTTCTAGACCCTAATGATGATGGCCAGTTAAAAAAGCAAAAATGCCCTCACTGTACCTGTCAAATCAAAGAACTAGTAAGTGAAAAGCACACCAGTGAGGCCGAGAAGAATAAAGGAAACAACCTAGTCACACTCAATCAACCCATTAAGGTATTATTCTGACTTTGGAACAAGAACTTAGAATGTTCCATTTTCTTAAAAGAGTATCAACATTTGAACTTAGTTGGCACAAAGAAGAATCACAGTATTTAAGTTGTATAAAAATTAATTACGTTCTCTCTGTTCCTTTAGTCTCACTTCTTTATTTAAAAAAAGACACTGGATTCCACCAAGTGGCAAGTGACATTTTTTTTTCTGGTATTCATCTGATATAAACAACTTTCTTCAACCATATATTCATGCAAATCGATAAAAACAAACAAAAAACCATGGAAAGGCATGGTTAACATCAGCTACCACAGGATTCTTTTAAGACTGGCACCTAACAGTCCTATGTGCCATTGTTAATTATCACCTACACAGGGACCCTTTCCCACTATTTTTTCTATACAAATGACAGGAAAGTCCGTCAAAGGCTTCATTGAACTCCACATGCTACACCAACTATATTGACCCAATTTACAAATCTAACAGCTCCACACAATCAATATCTTAAGATGTATTTGACTTTACAAACAGTAATTCATTTCCACAAAGCAGCGGGTCGCCCCTCTCAGAGTTCATCATGTCACCTATGGTCTCTGCATCACACTCTGGGTATTTTGCTATTGCTGTTTTGTTTGTGAGACACGGTATGTCTACAGAGACCCGACTATCCAGGACCCAGCTGTGCAGACCAGGCTGTTCTCTAACTCAGAGATCGCCTGCCTCTGCCTCCAGAGTGCAGGCATTAAAGACATGTGCCACCATTCTGAAACCAAGTAAATTACACTACTTCCGACATCACATGATAGTGCTTCATCATCAGTAGGCTGAATCTTTCAAAGATTGTTTTTAATTCTTACCAGTAACATTTCATCTTGAGGTATAGTCCTGATACCATCTTTTGACTATCCTAATAATCAGTAAAATCATAAGACTCTAACTTAAAACAACAGAAATCACTCCACTATGATAAGGTTTCTAGTCCTTCATAATTCTGGTCCATTTCTTTTATTAGAAACAAACTCTCATTTTTCAAACGTTCCTAAACCCTTCAAGTGTTTTCCTTCTTATTCCTGGGGCCTGAAACCCACTGCACACCGCAGCTGTAGCTGACCTGCAAGGAACAGGGAAGCACTATCCTAGTCTCGGGGAGTTACATGGATCTAATGTAAGCAAAAGTACCTGATTTCTCTGCACATCTTATTCTATCTGATTTTGTTCAAGATTTAATTTAAAGCCAAGCATAGTAGTATATGCCTTTAAACCCAGCACTTGGGAATCAAAGGCAGGTGGATCTCTCTGAGTTCAATGTCAGCCTGATCCACATTGTGAATTCTAAGACAGCCAGAACAATGTAGTGATATCCTGCCTTGAAACAACTCCCTCCCTCAAATTATTTATTTTGTGTGTGTGTGTGTGTGTGTGTGTGTGTGTGTGTGTGTGCGTGTATGTCCTGGGCATCTGGTCTTCTGAAGCTGGAGTGACAGGCAGGGAGTTGTGAGCCACCCAACACAAGGTGCCTGTCCTGAATCTTGCCCTGTAGACCAGGCTGGCCTCGAACTCACAGAGATCGCCTGGCTCTGCCTCCCAAGTGCTGGGATTAAAGGTGTACACCACCACTGCCTGGCCACTCATTACATCTTGAATCACACAACTTACTATATATACCTGTCACCCAGTTTGCAAACTGCTCATTAAGTCTGCCAGTCTCACACTCGTCATCCATTTCACACATTAGCAAATGATTGCTTCTCTGTTTCTTACTTTATGACATCTTTTACCACTGGATAAACTTTGGAAAATGGAGACTTAACTTCAATTTCTTCTGATTACTGTATGTGGCTAAATTGGGAAACTAATACACAGAGCAACTTTCCATGTCCACAGTACCGCCCCGACTTTGCTGCTTCTGCTAAACATTCTGAAGTCAGAGTGACAGCAGGAAACGCAGCAAGTTCTATATACAGCTTCTGTTTGGAGAAAGCAGACAGCACCCCTCCCCCCGCCCCGTCCCTGTCTGTTATCGTTGTAGTTACTATACTGTATGGCTGACTGACACAAACACCCCAAACGTTATCTTCTTATATTCTTCAGTACATATATAAATAACTTTAGCAAAAAATATGTCTCTTTCTTAGACCAATTCAATCAGAACTAGTTCATCAGATCAGTCCGTGTTCATGAGTTCCAGCAGGTATCCTTGGAATCATCCATTTCATACTATTTGCACATACAAGGTCAAGTTCAGGCTCTAACTGTGTCTTAAATTATTCTAAATATCAAAAGTACTGAGGCCTCTTCTGTGTTCCCAGAACCCTGTATTTTTAACTCAACTAAAGAGACTATAGAATAAATTTTTCTGTGGGTTTACACAAATGTTTGTACTTCTTTAGAAAAAAGATTACATTACCTAAGGTCAGAACCACTTTTCTGCCCATCTTTATCTGTGTCACTTGCCTAAAAATGTAGTCACACATAAAATATGTTTGTAGGTGGCTTTAAATTCATCCCCGACAACATCTTCAATGGTGAGAGCACAGTATGGAGTGGGTATCTACAAGAGTTTCTCATGTAAGTCACAGGTAGGTTTATGACAGATTTCATCACTTCTAAAGTCAAACTTTTTTCTCCCATATTTTAGCATCTCTCAAAATGACATGAGAATGCTGCATAGACTAAACTTCCTACTTATGCACAAAATAAAGGTATGCCTTAAAATTGATCAGACACCATTGGCTGTACACTTTGTATTAGATCTTTTATGTCACTACGCTTCAACTTCCTTTGGAGTAAAATGGGAGTCATGGTACCTACTTCATGAAAATTAAGTATAAATATGCCTCCTCTATGTGTAATAAGATTCCTATCATATGGTATTGGCAGGGAAACTTTTAAAAATTGAAAGATGGTCATCTACTTTGGACACTACCATCATCAACATAACTGGCATTACCTTCCCAGACAAGGAAGTAGAGCAGAAAGGAGAAAACAGGAAGCTTTAAGAGGTAACTCCAAAACCCACGTCTATCTTCTATTCTCCTTCCAGTATCATGAAATTCATTTCTTTTTATTTTTCCAGACAGGGTTTCTCTGTGTAGCTATGAAATTCATTTCTATCACATGGATTCAGTACACTGCCAGAAGACATTTTTTTATGATAGGAATTGCTACAAAGGTCTTGGGAAGGAAATACCTTAGAAGCAAAAGTAACAAACGGCCCCAAAGACCAAGAATGAACACTACCAAGCGTCCCACAGAATGCCCATTTGCAGAGCACAGTAACTGCAGGTGGCCCAGACCTTCTGAGGCTGCTGCTGCTCCAACAGCTGCTGTCGAAGGTGCTCCAGGTTCTGCTGCTGCAGCTGCTCTGCAATCTGATGGAAGATGGAGTTGTTCACAGATTCGGAAACATGAGAACTAAAATGATAAACAAGAGTGAAGATGCATGTTGAAATGCACGAAAGGTAATATCAAAGTGAGCATTCAGAGAAAACAAAAACATCTCTCTGACACAATGCACTCTATCTATTACAGTGTTTTCTTTTTAAAATATTAATACTCAAAGTGGAATGTTTTGGAAAATTAATACACTGGAAGAGAAATATACTCAATAACGTTTCAACCGATAAACATTAGAGACACTCTGTTACAGAGCTGACATTACCGCCTCATGCTGCACACATGGGTGTGCTGTACATATAAACTAGTGACTCTTTTATTAGAGTACTGTAAGAAAATCTCAGAACACTTGTAAAAAAGGGAAAAGTTTATAAACATTGTCAATTTTTAATAACTCATGTTTAACCATGAGACAGTGGAAGACAGTCTTTCAATCAGTATGTGTAAAATCTACAATTTTCACTGCCCGTAAGTTTTACAGAGTATGTTTCCTTAATAATCATGTTATTATTAGGTAATAATTAGAAACAGACAGTGTTTAGAAAAAAGAAACTATGCTCTGGGAAAGTCACACCTGGAATACAGCTGGAATTCTAAGTGCCATAGGTAAGACAAGAAAAAAAGGGGTAAACAGAATGGTGACAAGTCTTGAAACAGTTGGAGGGGAGGGGGAATACATCATCTGGAGCAAATAAACCTATGGAGAAGAATGATATCTATCTTCAAATATTGAAAGGCTATTTCTTGAAAGACAATGGAGTCTTTTTATTTCCGTTCTTTAAAACAGAACATTTGAATTGGTGTCTAGAAAATGAGGAAATTCGGTCCAACAGAACAGCATGTAAGACTAACAGTCACACTAGCTCTTTCCTCAGAAGGTGGGAAATCACTGGCTCTACCAACAGGGCTATTAAGAAATTCATACACTGTTTAGCTCCTTCATCTACATGACCTCAAATGGCCCTTCCAGCTTCACTATTTAGACTCTAAAATACTACTTTCAAACTCTGTCAAGGAAAATCACTGGATCAAAAGGATGCATTTCTATTTTAAGTATTCATATACATTACCCCAGTATATAAAAACTAATACTGCTTGCTTGAATGAGAGTCGCAAAGGCTTTTATCCGTCACGTTCCCTCCCTCTCCCTCCTCTCACGCTCTCCTAGTCTTTACAGATCCAGACACAAAACATAGGGCTCTGTACAACTTTTTGGGGGTGGGGGGAGTGTATGTCACCAATTTCAATAAAAACACAAAATCCATTTTTAAATAAACAAAACCCATATAATACCAATCCTTAATTCTAACTGGTTTAATGAACTTCTCAAAAATTGGCATACTTTCTAGAAGTGGACTCTGGCAGAAGCATCAGTCCTCCTATTACAAATATTCTTACAACTAAGTTATTTAAAGCCAACAGAGATATAATTTAAAAAATCACAACTACACTTACCAATGCTTATCAATTTTCCTATAGAGAACTTTGATATATTCCAACTATTTGCAAAGGTCTGAAAGAATCCAAATAAATCTAGGGAGGTAATAAGACAGCAGGTCCACGGCCCTCTATAATTTCAGTGCTTACAACCTGAAACAACACCCCGGCTTATGAAAAACTCACTCCTTATGAAAAGCTCACTCCAAGTGTTAAGACTGTTACCATCCCACTCAGCATTTAGAACAGAGAAAGAAAGAAAAACATAATTCTTACAGTTGAGGAGTAGGAATTTCCTTTTTGGATTCTTCACTGTGCTCAGAATCTTCCCCAAAATCAAACCTATCCATCAACTTCTAGGGAAGGGGAAGAAAAAGACAAATGAGAAAGTGCTTCCACGTGGAAATTACAAAGCTATTTTATATCTGTGATGTGAAGTAAGGGTACGGTGCCATTTTACATTGTACCATAGTAGAGTACGGCATTAGGAATGCATGCTTTTAGAGCACTGTAACATACAGCAGCGCCCTTACACATGGTCATCCCTGCAGCCTCACTCACTCACTCAAAGTGTAGTCTGAAACTATGACTGCCAGGATTCCTTCAAGAGAAGTCATTATACAGTCTCATTATATTATTGTTTCCTATTTTCACTGTGCCTATTTACTTATAAGATTATCACAAGTATGTATAGACATTCATACATGGTTTCAGGCTCCTCTGGAGGTGCAGGAATGATCTCCTGAGGGACGGCTTCATCATCACAAACCATTTGGACATAAGCAGTAAAAATACTAAAAGTTTTGTTTTTTGAGACAAGTTTTCTCTGTGTAGCTCTGGCTACCCTACAACTTGCTCTACAGACCAAGCTGGTCTCCAACTCAGAGATCCACCTCCCTGAGTGCTGGGATCAAAGGCGTGCACCACCATGCCCAGCTCACTAAACAATGTTTACAGAAAATGAAGGATTATGGAACTCTAACTTAAAAAAACCATCTAGGGTCATAATCAATTGTTAACTAGTCCTAGCAATGTTAAAATGTGTCTAGCTACTAGTACTAAATTAAGAGCGATTGGCCAAATGGCTCATTATCCAAGAAATAAAGTCACTACCCAAGAAATCAGTATTGATTTTCTGATGAAAATAATAGTAGCAGGAATAACATACATACACGTTGTGGAATATTAGTTGAAGATGTGTTACACTTGTTTTTGCTGTGGAACATTTGTTTAATGATGCAAACATGTATTGCATTCTTTTATGTTGCATTTGTTTAACTCTGTGAAGCTGTGTTACTGTGCCTGTCTAAAACACCTGATGGTCTAATAAAGACCTGAACAGCCAACAGCAAGGCAGGAGAAAGGTTGGGAAGAGCTGGCAGGCAGAGATTAAGAGAAAGGCAGAGATTGAGAGAAGAGGGAGGAACGAGAAAAGAAGGAAGGAGGACACCATGGGCCAACCATCCAGCCACACAGCCAGACAAGGAGGGAGGGAGGGAGGGAGGGAGGAGG